AATCCGTAATACTTTGCCCGCCCCGGGAATCGAACAAGAGACCCTAATTACTTGGAGTCTGCATAATATGTCTTCTTCCACTATCCCATAAGAAGATGTCATGCTATCATAAACTTCTTTTTCTATGTTATCATTCTTCTTTTTACACAATTTATGTGTCTTATCTGTGATCGTCCTCTCCTTTTCCATTTTTCTATATTTAATAAATTCAGCACTTAATACGATTTTCATTTGTTTGTGAATTAAACGCATAGGTACTACCACAAAACATATAAACTTTCTTTATATGTTTTGTGAGTACTACTGATACTGCCGATATACTTATTTGGGGAAATGAAACCTTCAATTATACTTCTCACGAGTGTTTACAAAAAGGAAATTGAATATTATTTCAAATGAAACCGTTGGAAAACAATTGTTTGGTACGAAGTTTGCCGGGTCAGCTAGTAATAAGTAAATAATCATAGACAGTATTAGGTAGGATCTAACCATAGATTACAATTACATGCTCTTTTAAACACAAGGAAACATATGTTATTGGCAAAAGTACACGGAAAGTTTCATTTTCCTAGGACCAGTAACTTTAGCGGTGTCTTGTCTATAAGTTACAACGTAACAGGAGAGTTTTACGTAGACGTGGGTATTATAAATATTGAAACTATGTTAATAGTACCTAAATTAATTATTATGTATTAGGCTTACTCATCTAACTGTTTAACATAGAACTCGACTAGTTTCAATTTTACGATGACTAGTTTCGATCCATTACAAACATTAATTAATTTAGTATGTCTACGATAGTTTTAATATAAACACTGATAGTACCTAGATAAAGGTACGCTCTTCTTTAAACCTGTTCGCTAGTGACTTCTGTATCTAACCATCTAAAGCCATATTAATCCACTCTTGAATAGTGATCACGCATGTATCATTCACATTATGGCCTGATATCACTATCATACTAAACAATACCACACAAGTAACCTTTTACTATTTGTATTTTGGAAGAGATAACGTCAAATATCCGATTATTATTTACAACTAAAGATACCGGAATCGGAATGTTTAAATAACTGTGAAGTGAACTTAGTGCTGTTATAGGTAATCAGATAAAATGGACGAAGGTTTTTTTGGAACCACACATTATGTATGTTGTGTTGTGTAGGTACAACATCACATGAAAAATGGGAGAGGACATTTTACACGTTAATTAAAAACACACACTTTTCACTAATTTTAATAGGGATGATGACAGGGTATGAAAATTAAAAATCTAATTAGTCCGTCTATCAAACAATATATATGACACGTATTTTTTTATTTTGTCGTATAAGAAAACAATACTTAGATAAAACGAATCAAAGTTTAGGAGTGGGAGGTAGCTACGTCATTTTATAGTATAAATCATACTCAAAAGTGACGTAATGCGATATCCATATATCTTCAAAACTATTCGTTTCTGTAAGAAAATAAAAAATATGTGTCTAATGTTTTTAAAAGATCTACCAGACGGACTTTCAAATAAAAATTAATCATCTACCCTATTGTTATGAATCCCATCCCATGTCCCGCAGTGCCATGCACAATTCCACTCATCGTAGTATAACGAAAGATTTTACAAAAAGCGATAAAACTAAAATATTAAGTAGTAAGTACTACGATTCGGACATCTCCAACTTGGTAGTCGTACTTGAGCCCCTTTGGCCAAGGAGATGTGTAAACAGTATTTGAAACTGAAGAATCCCTGAATGAACTTTTAAAAAAGAAGTAAGTACCTACTGGATGTGAATCAGAAGAAAGGATTACAGTTCATATGCCCTTTGGACAAAGTCCATAGTTTATGTTATGTATTCGTTTGGATTTGATATAGGAAATTAAACGATAACAGGATAATAATCGAATTGATACTGTAAAATAATAATAAAGCTGAAAAGCTTTTTGATCTTTTTATTTGTCTGGGACTATCGACATTCGAAAAGGTATTAACACAATTTTATAAATAACGGTGGTGATATTCAGGACTTTACTTGTTACAAATGTCTTGTTGCCTTGTTTTGTCTATCGGGAGAGAAAGAGAGAGATAGATGTAAAGATTTTAATCTGGAATGGCTCATATTATGCAACTTTTATCCCAATAAATGTATTTTATTCTATTTCACCGTTTTAACTTTAGACCTATGTGCATTATTCATTATTAATTAATTGCTACCATCAGTTATTGTACAAGTAAAAGGTGTCATTAAAAGCGCAACGAAAAAGTTTTATATTTATAATGAGTGTCCGTTTGTATGCACGTGCTGGGCACACTAGAAGTTGCATAATACGGTCACACAACGCTGCGCCGGCGCCGCCCTAACCGTCCGTGTTTTGTTATTATACGCGTCACATTAAAAAAGAAAACGTATTTTAATTACATTTTAGTGAATTTTTTTTATTCTTTTTCGTTTAAAAGTACTTACTTATTGTTTTTTCACAAATTTAATGAATTTTTAACCTTCATTATAATTCCTTTTATGACAAATATTTCCATACTTTTTTTTTACAAATAATTACGTCAAAATCATACAAAGAAAAACATATTTCCTAGAAAATTATTTTCTATTGCTTTAATAATTATAAAGCAATCTTAATGTAAACTTATATACCTAAATAGGCATAGTTATTTGTTACAACAGTAAATCTGTAACTACCTCAAAATTCCTATACCAACTACGATGCTACACTATAGATACTTGAAACTGTCTACGAGCTACGCGAAAACGCGCTACGACGGAACCGTAACTTACTTGGGCTTTTCCGTAAAGGCGGCCTCTACGAGACGTAGCAAGGAGTCGTAGCACTTCAGTCGCACAAAGTCCAATCACGCTACACACGGTCGCTAAGTGTCCCCAACACACCGGGATCACAGCACGGGCTAACCACTGGACAGCTAAAACCAAATTGTGGACATTTCTACTTCATAATTCAGTTAAATCACATTAAGGGGGGGACGACAATGGGAGAGCATCGATGTGAGCGAATCACACCATCGCTACGCATCGCTAATTTTCCATAAAGATCCGTATTTTGTCGTGTTGGTGGCTGAACTAGTATCATTATACTTTGTGGGCATGCGTGGACCATTGTTACACTAACAAATTCAGTGCGAGCGACCTGTGTGGTCATTATAACTTATGGCTAAACACGAAAGTGTGCATGTCTAGTCATCGATATTGCATACCTGTTTCACAAATACCATAGAAGGTTACTGAATAAAATAACTACAACAGAAGAGTAACACTACAATAAAGTCTTTGTAGACGTTGACGAAAATTTTCATAGTCTCGTAGCAAGACGTCGTAGTATCGTAGCAGATCGTAGCAAATAGTTAATTAAGCTAAGGTGGAATTTGCGTATATATGTAGACATGTAGTATGAGATCTCATTAAACTTAACAAGCATACATTCAGTGACCCCAAAGAGTGCGCTTTTCCGGAAGCTACGTACAATGGCATGAGTCGTCGGCGTCGACTCGCTACCCAACATGGCGGCTCGTCCACCATTGCACGTCAACCGTCGCACGCGCATCACGCAGATTAAAATCTGTAACAAAAATATAATTGTCTGTCTGTAACTACTACTACTCACTCATAAAATATGGTATTTAAAATATTAATTACTGTTGTAAATATTTATCTGCCAACAAAGACCAAAATATCGATGTGGGTGATCGAGCACTTGTTTAACACCTCTAGAGGCATGGCATATCAGATAACTTTTTGATATCATAAATCGATTATTGACCCTTAATAGGCCTAAATTTCAATTGTGTTTAAAAAATAGGCAGACGATGAATACGCACAATGTAACAATGGTTGATCATGCGTCAAATCTGTGAACTAGATCTCAAATTGTAGTTCGATTTCGTATGTGAGATATCTTAAACTATTGTTTTGACCGAAATTTAAACAAATTTGTTGTATTCTGACTAAATTAACCGCAAACGTAACGGTAATTGAAATATCAAATGTGTCGACCGGTTTATCACTTCCAATTTGTATACGAATCCCCTTAGAAGTGCCGTTTTATTTTGTCATCAAAGTATTATAGTGATAGATTTTTATAGAATAAATCAGAAAACGAAAAGTCTATTCTACAAATAACGCGCAGAAATGAACAAAACCGCAATGCCAAGCTAGTTTAAAGTGAATTAATTACAATATTGTTTCGCACCATGACCTTGGTAGCGCACACACGGTCATCACTCATCATCGCTGATCCAAAATGGTGATTACAGGTCGCCATGTCGGTTCAAAGGATTTATAAAATGACAACGATAATGGTAGGCGGATTCACCATCATGTTTTAATATTAAAACAATGAAAATCCTGGGAATGCGTTATCTTGTTTAATCTGCATACAAGAACGTGTTACTATAGCCATTTCAATTAAGTGGATGGCGTAATTCGTTTAGCAATCTATTTGGGGATTTCAATTGTAGGGCAAGCCTTAAGTAAAAGCGTCATAGCCCTCCTTTTGCTTAGCCGTAGTCGGGTAAAAATAGTAGGTTTTCTCCAAATCTCTCATTTGAGGTTCAAGTTCAAACAATTTTAGAATACCTATTTGAAAGTTATTTTTGTGGATATAAATATTACTTAGGTATATCATCGACAGTTCTTAAAAACATCAAGCTCAAGGACTGATATAATGAATCAAAACCCAGTTACCAAGAACCTAAAATAAATACCTAGTTGGTAAGCCACAGAAAAAAAAAACAGTTCTTGTGAAACCTGGATAACTGATATTTCACCGAATTAAAAATAGTATTGCTTTGTACTGAGATAAATTGGATATGCACTAATAAACATAAGTACGTAGGTAATGTATTTAAATTCAGTTAAAATAAATCACGCTTGAATAAAATAATAATAAAAAGGATAAGAAGTAAACAATGTCTTATATCCTAGTTTTATTCAAATAAGAAAATAGTTTTGCGTCATAGTCACTTTACTACGTTAAGATAATTATACGGTTTACATGTTCATTTACTTACACCTGCTATCTCAATGTAAATATTTGTTAAAACAGCTGTTGTTTTCGAAGCTTCTGGAAATTGTTAGTCTTTGTCACAATACTGTAGTTGACTGGTAGTCAAATTCAATACTTTTATTGAAATGTCAAAACTATACTTTTCTATGAATTTTGAATTGGATCGCAACTTATGACATCATCGTATTTCTGCGTCAAATAGCATACTTACTTCCTTAAAATTAGCGAGAAAGAATCCAAAAGTAGGTAAATTGTCAAATCAATGGATGAGAGTATGATTATTTTTTTATTATTTATTGCATTGAAAAGTTGGAACAATTTATTTTAGACCTAGGAAACCAGTCAATTTATAACTTGTAAAAATAATATGAACTACTACCGTACACACACATGTGTGACCGTTTTTTTAATTTGGGACCTCTACCTGCGGCTTTGTGATCCTATCTTAATATAAAAAATAACTCCTTTACCCTGGATTTAACATCACGAATGAATGATCTCTCACCATTGATGTAGGTACGTTTGATTAAAATTTCTTTAGCATACATGAACGCTAAGAACAAAATTTAAACAAAACACACTATAAATACTCTTTTGAGAATTTAAGATATTGTTATCATTGTTGCCCAGACAACAAAGTAACATCGCTATCGAATTCCCAAGTTCTAAACGCCATAATTATCAGTAACAATATGACTAATAAACTACAAAGGATTTTTTACTATTATGTATGACCAATGGGTCGACAAAATCGATTTACGCAGTCTCTTTCTAACTGTGATTAATACAATACTTTTGTACAAAATGTAAAACAGTTACCTAGATACACGAGTGAATGTTTCAGCCTAGGTCATTGGAAATAGTCTGGAACTAAATTTTTTTTGAGTGTAAATCGAATCATCATTGACCAATAGTGTGTTCTGACATGTATATTATCATGATCGAAAATCAGGCTATAAGAAATTAAAAAGAGATAAGGACGTGATTATTATTTGCGCAATAACATTTTTTTTTTATTTATTTAATACTTCTGTGCATATATAGCTATACTCTATTTAAAAGTTAATAGGTATTCGCGTTTCAATGACAATATTGTAAAACGATTTGAATCTTATTGAACAAGTAGTTTTATTTGAAAAGACTTTAGGTTATCTAGGAAGTGTCCGATTATAAAATGGGTACTAGGTATACGTAAATGTCCAATGTGACGGTAAACCTTGAAATGTATGACATCATCTATTTATCCTCAACCCTGCATAATACAAAACAATTAGTCACCACATAGGTTTTCTTTTCCTAGTTTTTTTTTTATGAGGTCACACAAGGAAACCATGAAAAACCTATGTATTGTTTTCAGATTTGTTGTGAATAGAAGTACAAATTACATTAACATTGACTTATGTAATTATTTTCCCGGTTATATACAAACAATACTTACTTTACTAAACATATAGTGCTAAATACAGAATACTATAGAGAATATTTCGTTGACAGACTTTTGTATTAAAAGAATAAAGTGCGTTGATGTTAAAGATTTCATTGTACGAGTAGTTTGCTCCTTATTGGCAAAATAATTGAGAATAGTTTGTTCATTTTTGTGTACGTCTGGTTCCAAAATAGAGTTACATGGTCTAATCTTTTGCTTCTTCGATAATAACCCATTACTAAATGGTGCTCAGTTTTTTTACTAATATCTTCGTACGTGAACTAATGCATTGTAACCTTTTTTATCTAAAATATTTCTCTGCTAACAATCTCTACACTTAAAACATTTTTTAACTTGCAACGCTCCATTCTATTGTTGTTTTTGTGGCCGCTATTGCCTACAAATTGCAAAAAGGTTATTGAATAGAGCAATACTCTAGAAGAATCGATTGAATTTAAGGCAACCTGTCACTACATGGAATTGTCACTAACAATTTAGTCCGTCGCGTGTTGCAATCCTACTTAGCAAGTAAGTCATTACAGAATAATAGTTCACTTACTTAATTTAATTTTATTATTTAATTAGATAATCACATCAATTCCACCAATGATATTGATGTGAAAGTTAGTGTATGGATGTGTGTTTGTAATTCTTTCACACAAAAGCTACTTACCCAGCAGGCAGGTGGATGTTTAGGATATACAAAGAAATAGGTACATAGGCCACATTTTATCCCTTAAACACGGGTGAAGTCGTTGGCAAAAATTAGCCATTAATAAAATTGGTATAATGTTAATAATATGCAAAATACTAACATGATAATGTGAAAATTCGACATTACACCATTAGTTTTAATGAAGAACAGTAAAAACATTACCATTGTGACGACAACAACATAAAAACCAGCCCACTTTGTTAGAAATAGCCCGAATCCTAGAACTAATACAAAATTAATATACACCTGATAATTATGCCATTAAAGTAGAACGTGCAAAATAGGTTGCCTATATGTTAAAAACGTATCCGTTAAATAAATTAAACATTAAATATTTGAAAGAGATTCATTCATCAACAATAGATAGTATCAAAATCTTTATTTAAAACATTGTTAAACACAGTCGTATCGTTACGTAACCACGTACATTGTTTGAGCGAGATAAGTCAACATTGAATAATTATCAACACCACCTCGCGTGTTACTCATAAGACCGGTTTTTTTAAACATTTAGCACAAAAGTATACATTGTCTTTTTTTCATAGTATAACTTGACTACCTTTTTGGAAAGACAGCAATGTATCTCGTATTTGGCGTCGCTGTTCACAAGGCTACTGGTTAAAATGTCTGTAAATAATCTTGATCCTTAGTTTGGTCTTGAATCGTGAACTTGACCGTCAATGTTTGCACGCTGTATAGTCGTGTTTGTCAGAGTTTTTTTCTAATAAGAATTCTTATGTTATAAAGCGTGCTATGTAGTATGTACCTA